TTTCCTTTGGTGTCCTCTAGTCCTTCTATTATGGGAACTAATGAAGAACTTTTCTTTATGCACCCTCTCCACACCACTCGTGCTTTTATAGACCTCTATCATATCCCCCCTCAGTCTCCTCTTTTCTAAGCTGAAAAGTCCCAGTCTCTTTAGCCTCTCTTCATATGGGACCTGTTCCAAACCCCTAATCATTGTACTTGCCCTTTTCTGAACCCTTTCTAAGGCCATATCTTTTTTGAGGTGAGAAGACCACATCTGTAGACAGTTCTGAAGATATGGCGTACCATAGTTTTATACTTCCCCTCCTCCTTCTTCCCCTGGCTTCCCCCTTCCAGCTCCCTCCTCCCAGGTTTCTACCTCCCCTCTCCCACCCTCTTTCTTCCCCTCTCCCACCTCCTTTTCCCAGTCCCCCAGAGGTTAATCCCCCCCGCCCCCAGTTTTGTTAAATAAAGAGAGTTTCTTTTTTTGAACACGTGTCTCTTTATTTTGTACATCAGGAAGGGGGGCTAGGGAAGGGTAAGTGGAAGGAGGTGAGGGAGGAATGGGGCACGAGCCCCCGATGGGGAGGACTGGGCTGGCTCTGCGGGCTTCTGGGGGTGGAAGCTCTCCTGCAGCCCCCCAATTGTCCCCTCTCCCCAGATGGCAGCCTGCGGCAAGTGCAGCCGGGCTGATGGCCGAGTGCTGTGATGTGCCCAGTGTGGGCACTCCGGGCACTCCAAGCCAGGACTGGTTTTCAAGTGGGGCACCCCTGAGAATTGTCTGTCCGGGGTGGGGGTCGGGTCCCTTTAAGCGCAGCCCTTGGCTAGCCTGAGACAGCATCTCCACGCTCTAAGTCCTCCTCTGATGCCCTGCCGGCACTGCTTCTGGCCATCCTTAAGCCCTGTTCAGCGTCCACTCAATGTGGACATGCTAGTTTGAATTAGCAAAACGGTAATTCAAACTAGTTTTTAGTTCTAGATGCGTTAGTTCGAATTAGCTTAGTTCGAATTAACTAATTCGAACTAAGTTAGTTCGAACTAACTCTGTAGTGTAGACATACCCTAAGAGTTCCCAAAAATTGAGCATTCCAAGTCACCAATCATCTTGAAATTTTTGGCTTGAATACTGTCCTGGAAACACATGGGCTGTGTCTACACTGGCCCTTGAATTTCCGGAAAAGCAACGACACTCTACTGTACAAAATCAGCCGCTATTCCGGAAAAGCTACGCTGCTCCCGCTCGGGCATAAGTCCTTATTCTGGAACACTGTTCTGGAAAAGGGCCAGTGTAGACAGTCCAGTAGTCTTTTCCGGAAAAAAGCCCCGATCGCAAAAATGACGATTGGGGCTCTTTTCCGGAAAAGCGCGTCTACATTGGCCAGAGATGCTTTTCCGGAAAAGGCTTTTCCTGCCAATGTAGACGCTCTTTTTCCGGAAACATGAAACCAATGACAAATCTATCTCCCTGTTCAACCTATGGTTATTCACTTATTTACCTATAATAGTCAATTTACCACCCTTTTGAGGAAAGCCTGGTAGAACATGCAACTGTTCCAGCCAGCGGTGAAAACTTAAAATTTCTTACAGGTACTATCCTATCCTATTGTAACCTTGATCCCTGCCACAGTTCAGCCAGCTCTTGTCGGAGCTGCGCACCAGGGCACACCTGCTTACTTTCACCTCTGGTTTCAGCTTAAAGTGAACTTGACAATCTGGGCTTTGTCAGACCAAGAAGGGAGGCGAGTTGCAGCTGAGGGCCTGGAGAGGAACATAAGAACTTTCGCTGATTGACTACATGATTTCCCTCTATAACTGCACATACAGGGACATTGGCTAATAAAGCCTTCTGAAAAGTTTCCTTATGAAATAGATTTTTTTTTAAAGCACACTTGTTAGTAGGGTATCTTCCTTCACAGTTAGTTCAGAATTAGAAACATTGCAGGTGATAGTGGCTCCTAAACATCTCTGGGATCCTTTTGTTAAAATTCCATTGGCAGGGCTCAGTCATAGGAACTGAACTTTACAAGTGTTCTGACAGCTTTGACAAAGGCTATGTTTCCTGTTGCCATGAAAATGAACAGGAGATCATGAAAGCTGGGTAATGGGTTTTTAAACCAAGTTTATTTTAAAAAAATCAGTTGATTTAGGTACAAATAGATGTCCAGAACTGTTATGTTCCCAATGATGATATTTTGCAACCATGGGTTCTCCTCTATCTTTGAATCTAATCTAATCATTTGTATTTCATCACCATGGCATTGTTGTGGAGGATGGTTTCTTTTCATATAGCTCCTGTAATACTAAAGACAGAGAACCACTGGTCTGGTGGTTTTGACTGTCTAAAAGGGCACGTAGACACAACTGATCATTTCACTTATTTAAACCGACATTTACCAAGGAATCTATTACTACAGTCATTTTACTTTAGCCAGGATTAACAGTTAGCTTTTCCTAAAGGTCATGTCATTCTTGGTTTGTCTGGTGCCTAATGTCCAATATATAATTAGCAAGTTAATTATATTCTTTATCAGTGTCCTTTAATGATGCTGTATTTAGACCTTGTCTGGCTGCTTCCTAGATTTCTAGGTTTGCAGATGCTTGACTTGACTATAGCACCATAGTAACATCTTACTAATCAAATCATCAGGTTTGTGTTGGCAAAGCAAATTATGTTCTGTAGATAAACGAAACAGTGAGAATTAATGAGTGGTTTAGAAAATAAAGCATTTAGTTGTGTTCATGGGATGAGATGCAGGACTGTAGACTAGCAAGAAGAGAATAAGTCCTAATTGGAAACTATCTGCCTTTCCAGCATCTCTTTGTTAAAAACATCTTCTAGAATCTCTAGATTGACCTGTGATTTCTGGATAATAGAGCTCAGATGCATATCCTAATTGTTCATTAAATTGGGAGTATCTAGAAAGGCTGTGTCTACTACATTACTATCCCTTGCCCCAATATTAGTAGAAGTGCATAAAAATAATTTAGATTTTTGCACTTAATCTCAATATTGCACACAACCTTATTTTCTAATTCCTGTAACATCTTAACATCTGATCCTGAAAACACTTATGAATTTGTGTAGTAAGTGGCTCCCCTCATATTGGCAGAAATATTTATATATATTAGTGCTGATCCTTAAACAGTGTTTGGAAATGTTTTAACGTGAACAGACGCTGTAAAATTACAACATGTAGATAACTGTTCATAGACCACACCACATCCTGTGTGCCTTACAGTATGCTCATTTTTAATTGCTTTTCAGCAATTTGGTATGCAGCTAAATGAGTCCTCCAGGCTATTTCTTTAAACAAGTCTTTTGTGAGTACAATGCCATTTTAAACACTCTCCCCTCAGCCTGACTCATCACCTCATGTAGCCTTATGGCATTATTTGGAATTGCTGCCACGTACATTCAACAAATGGTTCCTGCTACATGTGTTTAATTTTTTTTTGCCTTTGTGTTTACAGAGAACAATCTGGAATTGACTTAGTACATTCAGATGGGGTCATGGGAAGAAAGATGGTTGCTGCTCTTCTAGCTGAAGTCATTAGGAATGTGTGTATGCAGCTAAATTCAATAGTGTTTCTCAAGACTGCACTTGTGAGGCTCAGATTTACTCTGATTATACTGTCTCTTACAGGTAGGTTATACAAGTACAGCTGTTTTCCTCTAGTGCCTGCTTTGCCATATGTAGATGCTAAGTGTTAGATTATTGACGTGCAATCCATGTCTGCATTTTTTGTTGATGCCTACTACATGCTTCCTATGGTTTTTGCAAACAAGTGCCTTAGGAATATAATTCAAAAAGGTGAGATGCTATAAATTCTCATTTGGAGAATGGAGTTCAAATTCCCATTTACATCAGTCACTCTTGACGTAATGAATGAAGCCCCACTTGTTCCAGGTCTCTTTTCATTAGCATCACAAAACCACAAAAACACGTTCAATCTCTGCACAAGAGAGGTTCAGAACTGGAATTGAAAGGGCTCATTATAAGTAAAGAATGAAATTCATTAGCAGAAATATGGGATAGTTGTTGCACAACACCTGTCTACACTCTGGGGGTATGTCTACACTACCTTCCTAGTTCGAACTAGGAGGGTAATGTAGGCATACCGTACTTGCAAATGAAGCCTGGGATTTGAATTTCCCGGGCTTCATTTGCATAAACTGGGCGCCGCCATTTTTAAATCCCTGCTCGTGGAACGAGGAGTAACGGTAGTTCGGACTAGGAAGCCTAGTCCAAACTACCTAGTTCGTGCCGCGTGTACCGCGCGGCACGGGGTTCGAACGAGCAGGGATTTAAAAATGGTGGCACCCAGTTTATGCAAATGAAGCCCGGGAAATTCAAATCCCAGGCTTCATTTGCAAGTACGGAAACCATTGGTAGTTATCCCTTTCATGAGTTTATAGATTTAGGGCCAAATTGAAGTCAGTGCTAAAATTGCCACTGACTTCAAGGCAAGGATTTGACCCTTCAGGCAATAACATTAGAAAACTGATATACTATGAACACTTTGTTATGACACTGGAATATAAATAACACTCCTGTAATGTATTATTTAGCTCTCCAGGTACTGTGCACAGTAGAGGTCCAAATAATCTAGTTTGGTACACTAAGCATTCATCCTTTAAAAATATTGGTGCATTTCAAATAATACATTTTTAAGTGGGTAATAAAATGCAAATAGGCATTTAATTTCTGGTTTGGGGTCTTATCCAACTCTTATTGAAGTCAATGGGAATTGAATCAGGACCTTGGACATTAAATATAGGTACATTATTTGGAACCAACCTAACAAATCTGTGCGAAAAAAATCACAAGTCTGAATTTTTGTGTATATATACAACGAAAATAAGAATTAAATTTTACGTCCTACATGGAAACTAAAGAACTCTTTACATCTGCTATTATGCCTGTTCAGGTCATCTACAAAAATCTGACTTACCCAAATTTTGAAACTTGCTGGCACAAAGATCTAATTCACACACATTTGAGTTCAAGATTTAAAAACATTTCTCATTCACTTATACTCTTGGTTGGCTGGCAAACATGCAATTAATATGAAGAAATGAAACTCAAAACTATTTTTATTCCAGGCCTCTGACTTGCCAGGTGTAAAACATTAAGTTCATAGGCATGCCCGAGTGCAAGTTAGTTTGTGTCCCTTCCTGCTAAATGTATGTAGTATGCTGTGACAGATCAGTACCCCTGGGGTGTCAAATAAGGTGCTTAGGCACCACTGAACCCCCACCCCCTACTAGTCTAAGCCCCCTTTTATCTGGTTTTGCTAAGTCAGTCCTCTGGTTTCCACTAGCAAAACCCACAGGCAAGGCAAGGCAAAACCCAAAGGCAAGGAATTTACTCCAGTACCCAGATGTTCACACCTCTCCCCTGGGGAACTAACCCAAAATTAAATGAAGGTTGCCTCCTTTCTTAGTGTGAAGGAAGGTATACCCAGCCTCTCGCCCCGTCACAGTTAGAAATTTCATAAACTGGCTTATACTATAATCCAGAAATAAATTTAACAAACATCAAAAGGTGTATTTTAAGTGGTCAAAGAAGTAGCAAATAGAACAAAGTAAATTGCTAAGAAAATAATACAAATCATGCATTCTAAATTACAGGTTAGTCCTCTATGGTTCATCACCCTCAGGACCTTACTGGTCCCAAACAAGGGAATTGCAAGACCAGGGGAAATCCCCTGACACCAGCCTCTCAGCTCCTGCTGGCTCTGCTTCTGACCCTGGTTGGCTTCCTTGCCTTCAGCAGGGTGTGCTGCTGGCCCCTGTCAGCCCCCTCAGCTCTAGGGCCTCCGGCCAGGCAGCCCTCTGCCCCAGGGCTCCTGACCTGCTGCTTGCCTCCCTGCACCAAGGCTCTTTGGTCCAGGAACATCTGGGGTCCTGCGGAGATTCAACCTGTATATTCACTGAGAACTAGTTACAAATTATAACTTCCCACCCTAGTTATTATTTCAGGTAAAGTCCATCGCAGGCCAGATGTCTTTTGGACTGGGTCCAACAGCTCTCCCTCTCTCCCTTCAGTTACAGTCCTTTTGATTGCAAGGGTTTTCAAGTTCTATTGGGTGGGGTAACAGAGGAAAATCAAGCTGAAGATAATGGCATTTGATGCCCCCTCCACCCATCCCGCCATGGAAAGCACAGAATTCAAGATGGGTTCCAGTATCAGGTGAAGTGGTCACATATTTCTGTAGGGTCCCTGTAGCCATTCTTCACAGGCTGACCCACACATTTGCTGGAAGACTAAGCTCTTTTACAGTCCATTGTCTTTTGCCAATAGGTCATCAACACTGTCCAACTTTGTGATTGCTGTAGCTAGGGAAGGTAGCAGGCTTCACCCAGTAAATCTACAGTCCATATACCTAATTCCAGAAACAGGAGTGATGCATTCATACAAATAGGATAATCAGATTCAGTAAATCACAACTTTTCCAATGATACCTCACACATGAACCTTCGTACACAAAGCACACCTCAGTTATAGCATTGGTATCATAAGCATATGTTCATAAAGAATGTGGAATGCCATGTGACAGTATGATTTGCTTGTCTGTTTTTCCTGAAGTTTCTCTTATCGCCCATAGAACAGAGACTGATAGTGCACCCTTTTCCCTAGCAAACCAAAATTGAATTCTAATAAATATAACAGTAGCGGATAGAAACAAATGATCAAATCTGATGGGGTGTTAGTGAGCACTCCTGTTCTGACTTCTTTTCAAGTTGTTTCTGTTCTCCAGTTCAGCAATGGTGAGGAGCAAGAGAAATGGAGCAGGTGCAGCAATCAGTCAGTGTTACTCTTATTGAGGCCTTCAAGCTACCATAGTAATTTATTGATGGACAGGGGGAGCTAAATTCATCAGTCTGTGTGTGAATACAAACTCTAGTTGCATGCAGACATTAAGGGCAAGACTGACATTTTTGAAGTCAAACACAGGTTAATGTTAAAAACCAAAACTGCTTTTTAAAAAGAATTACATTCTGATTAGGTATTGTGTGTTCACGACATGCTGCATATTAAGGAATCACAAAGCAGCCCACTTCAATTGCATGGTAAAAGGTTTCCAAGGAGTAATAGCAATCAAAACAGTAGTTTCATCAATTTTCAAGGTAGCAAACAGCTCTTCAGGGCAGCTACCTCCAGACTAATCAATCATATGTGCAAATTACAATGCTAATTGCAACAATGTATAACATTTTGACTATTTGCATGCACTTCTAGCTAACAGGAACACAACAGGGATCTTAGACCATATGGATTTATGCCAGGAATGACTATTCCCTGTAATTTAATTAATTAATCTGAAATGGACCCAAAGATAATTAACCCTTAGATGCCAGATTAACATACCACAGTGCGAGGCATATATCTAAAAGGAAAATAAATCATTCCCTTAATATAGCATGTGTTTTTATGCTTTTATCTCAGGATCTCAGAGCCATTTACTAACATTGATTTAATCTCACAAAATCCCAGCCTGAGCTGCCAAACAACAGGCCATTTGTCTAATGGATCAGTCCCCACAATGGCCAGCTTGTTCCTTGAGTCCACCAGGCTTGCACATAAACTACACTGGAGGCACCTTTCTTCCTCTTCCCTAGTAGGAAATTTAGGCCTCACATCATAGCTTCCTTACCTCAGGGGTGTGATAAAAAGTTTAGGCTTCTGAAAGATTTCTAGGACCTAAACAACTGCCTCCAAATCTTGGGCTATTCTGTTGCACTGAAGCCTAGGGACTGCAGTATTGAAACTGCTGAACATGCAAGCATAAAAGTGACCTTCAATAGATCAGAGAAAAAACCCAGAAAGGTGAATCCTGTTTC